CACCTTTTGATCTTTTTACAAAAAATATTCTATAGAATTTGCTCTTATCTTCTCTATCTCTAAAGATATTTAGGTTTATTGCTTTCGTTCACTTTCGTAGCCTAGTAAACCTTGAATCCCAAGCCAAATAATATTTGTTTGTTGATTATGCTCCTAATCAAGTGGGGTATAAATGTTTTGATCAAATTTTAAAAAAATGTTTGTGACCATTGATATCAAATTTTTCTTGGATTACCTCATTTTTTACCTCATCTTCAAGGGGAAATAAAATAAAGATTTGTCTATTGAGTTTTGGAATTTTCATCAAAATGAAGACTCTTAAAATAGTATATCCACAACCTTGATTTTTCAACCTGAAAACTAAAATGATTTTATATTAGGAGAGAGTGTGTCGAGTCTTTTTTGTTAAGTTCCTACATTGCCATATCATGATGTTCATAACAAAGATTAAACAGGAAAAAAATTACGATAGTGGTACCGTTTGTTATTGTCTACATGGTAGGGGACAATTCAAAAGTAAGGGTATTCCCAAAATTCTCTAACTCATGTAGTGTCCTCATTAATCATTTAGCTCATGTTTAGTCCACTTTATCTTTGAGTTCTGAGTTTTCTAGTCCTTAATTTGAGCCTAGTTTGAATTCTAAGTCTAATAATTGAAGCCTTCCCATTGGGAAAAAAGTTTTATAGCTAATATCTATTTTCCTATTATGTCTCATATGAAAACCTTTCATCCACTTTTCATGTTTTTATCTCACAATAATCGCTTATGGAGATTCCTAGTACTATAAATGATGTTTTGAAAGTCTTTTAAGTGGAAGGAAGTTATTTTTGAGGAGATGAAAACACTTGAAATAAATGGCTTATGAGAATTGGTTGATCTACTTAGATGTAGAATAACTATAAGATTCAAATTAGTGTTTACAATCAAGTATAATTTTTTCTTGGTTCTTTAGAACAACATAAGGCTCAACTTAGTTGCCAAGTGATTAACTTTGATTTATAACATTGATTATTTTGAGACATACACTGTTGTTGCAAAACTAGACTCTGTATGAGTTCTTTTGTCACTAGCAGCTAATCTTGATCAGTCTATATAATAGTTGGATATAAAAAATGTCTTATTCAATAAGGACTTAGAGGAAGAAGTGTATATGGATGCACCTCCAGGATTTAATGAGAAGTTTGATACAAGATGTGTAAACTAAAAAATTCCTCATATGGGTTGAAGCAGTCACCATGAGCGTAGGTTGAGAAATTTATACTATTTGTTAAAGGTCAGGAGTACTCAAGGGCAGAGGGATTCTACAATATTATTCAGACATTCAAATGATGGAAATATAATTATGCTAAATATCATTCTAACATGAAATGATGTATATGAGATGAACTGTTTGAAGACCATCTATTTTTGAAACCAAGAACTTAGACCTTTTGTGGTATTTCATCGTTATGGAAGTTGTCTGATCGAAGAAAAACATTGTTCTCTACAAACAGAAGTATGTTTTTGATCTTCTCAAGGAAACTAGGATGAGTGAGTGTACACCTACAGACACTCCTATTGATCCCATTCAAAAATATGGGAAGGAAGGTGATCTAATTAATGCAGTTAGGTACAAAAAAATTGTGGTTAAGTTGATATACTTATCACATTCATGTTCAGATATTGCCTTTGGTGTGAGTTTGATAAATCAATTTATTCATTCACCCTATGAGAAACACTTCAAATTAGTCAATAGAATTTTCATAAATCTAAAATGTAGATTAGAAAAAGATTTAGTTTTTCTGAAGACCACACGAAAGAGCATAGAGGCGCTCATTGATGCAGACTGGGTTGGCTCAGTATTTGACAGGAGATCAACTTCTGGATATTGCACCTTTGTATAGGGAAACACGGTTGCATGACGAAGTAAGAAATATAATGTGAATGCAAGGAATAGTGCCACGACAGAACATAAGGTTATGACTGATGGAGTATGTGAGGTTTTTTCGTTGAAAAGAATCTTTGAAGAGCTGTAGATCCAGATAAGCATGTCAACAAAGTTATACTGTGACAACAGAGCAGCGATAAGCTTTGCAGAAAATCCAGTGCAACATGATCGTACAAAGCATGTGGCGATTGGTAGACACTTTATAAAAGAAGATTGTTTGTGGAGTTATTTCCATGCCTTTTATCCCTATTGCTCAACAAATAGTGGATATCTTCACCAAAGGACTGTTCATGCCTAATTTGAGCTCATTGTAAGCAAGTTGGGGATAATAAATTTCTATGCACCAACTTGAGGGAGTGTTGGATTTTTAGGAAGATTTTATTTTTAGTATATTCTATTATTAGTTTTTTTTTTCTAGAAGTTAGAATTATTAGTATGTCATAATTCCTATATCCTTTTTTTATCATAGGAAGTTATAGCTGATTTTATCAATTTCCTAATATGGAAGTCATCCCTCTCTATTTTTCTTGTAATCATTTTTTAGGAAATTAAAGAGGAATAATTATTTTTCCTCTCCCAAAACCTACATAAATCAAGGTATGCATTAAAATTTGAGTTATTTATTATATCAACTCTTCAAGAAAACCCATGGATGAAACATCATTCCTACAAAAACATTGGAGAATAATTAAGATTTTGATATGAGATCTCTTGATAGATATATTAGCCACACCAATCATAGAAGCACAAACTTTCAATATTTGCTTGATTTAAGACTACTCCCCTTACCTTATTTAACTTTAATCTATTTTTTTTGCTTTTGGAAGCTTTAAAAAGCCCTTTAGTATGGTCAGCTCTTCCTGCTTACAACGCCAAAAAAGCACGTTTGTGACTTCTTTTCCGCTATTTCAAGAAACACACCTGCAAGAGAACCTTTACAACACGAAATGTCATATTCATGTTATGAAAAGTGTGCATAGGGCTTGCCGGTTGCACCCTGAGTGTTGCCTTTATGTTTCACCTGTAGTGCTAAGAAAAGTGTGCATAGTTTGTATCTACGTTATGGAAAAACATTTTGCAGTAACATGCATTAAGAAAACCAAGCATATTAGTTTGTAAGTTTTAGTATTTTACATTTTATATTTGTTTGGATTCTCTTCATAAAATCCATTAAATTACTTTCATAAGCTCAGATGAGAAAAGGTTTAAAGTTGATGTTAGGTTAACTATCAAATATAAAACTTATTTCAAAATCTATAAGAATACTATAATAATGATTTCCAACTATTGTTTGCGTCCCATTGATTTTAGCTAATTATTTATTACGTGACAAAATGTCTCCTGTTATTTTTTCTTACACTTCTTATTATATTCTTATTAAAGTGATTATTTTTCCATTCAAAGCATGAGAAAATTGTTTCTTTGATATTTTTGTCAAATAAATATTTAGATATAAATTGTAAACACTAATTTAACAAATAAATAAACATTGTCTAAGATGCATAAGAACAGGAACTTTATAAAAAAGGACACTTATGAATGTAGTTTTTATGCATTTTTTTGGGGTAAAATAACAAATATCCTTTTTATCATTTTTTTTTTATGCCAAAAGAGTGTTTTAATATTTAATTTATAAAACTTGGTTGAATAAAAAAACATAATATTTAATATTATGTTCTTCTGGCGAGGCCAATGATTACCCCATCATATCAAGTCCATTTGCTTATGCCTAGCACATGAAAATTGCTTTCGCTGCAAAGCTACAACTGTCGTGAAATAATGTTATGCAACTCGAACCATTCATCTTGAAAACATTTGACAAAGATTTTGTATGGTAAAAGTAAACATTGGTTGAAACATATTGAAACATATTTTCTAATAGTTTTATTGATATTGAATTAGGTGTGTTTTTGATATCTAGCTTGATATTTTCCAAAACGTTTATGACAATAGAGGGAAAATATATGAAACTACTTAAATGGTCTCCCGAATTTGACTCCTAGTCAAGAACCACCTCTGGTTTAAACTACCTCTAAACTACCTCGCCTAAAGTTGCACTACTTCAACCACCAAGTCCTCTTCTCTATTTGAGTTGCACTAGGGAGACATATGAAATTAGATGCACTCACCTTCAATCTAACCAGACCTTCGGAATTAGATGCACTCCAAGAATTCCTAACCAGACCTTCGGTTGCAAGAATCCTGTTGAAAGGGATATCACCCTCCCTGATGTGGACGAAATATGACTTGTACTACCCAAAATGGGTATTTGCAGCTAGTTATAGCAGAATAAAGACCCTATTACTGTAATCACTGTAAACTGTTTGGGCACACCCCTGTCAAATGCTTCAGGCTTCACCCACATGTGAGATCGACATGTCCTAACAATATCATCCATGTGGAGGAAAATATGCTAGACACTGCGAAATTATAACAGACACTCTTAATCTTCCAGAAATATTGAATGAGAATTTGACCCATAAGACTACTCCTCACCAACTAGACCAGCAGCTTCCGCCTACTGTTGTTGTGACAGCTCTTCCCAGATTACAAATTCTACGAATTTTGTTGTAGCAGAGGCTAGCCGAAGTGTCTTGGAACCATCTATTGTGAGAGAAGCTGGTACTCAAGTTATGGAGGAGTGTCAGGATCAAGGTGTGCTGTAAACTGAGTTAGATCAACAGTTTACCTCTATCGAAGATCCACCTATTGTTCACATGAGACTACTTTTGAGAGATGATTAACAGGTTTACAAATCTAGGAAGAAGAAGAAAGGAATGCCAGATCACAGTAACTCTCAGGATGAATGTATCATTGTTTCGGGCGGAAGCCCACATCTCAGTATGTTACTGGACTCCCTCCTTAAATCCAGGGGAAAGAGAAGTGGTATACCCACCGACTACACTCACCATGATTGGGAGTTGTTTCTTTTTATTTTATTTTTTGGGGAATACGTTTGTAATCCCTGTGAGTGGGCTCTTTGTACCCACTCACTAAAATCTTTGTATCATTTCTTTTTTTATCAATGAATTTTATCTTTTCTATTTACATATATATAATCAGTACGCCAAAGAAAAGAATGGAAGAGAGAAGAGAGAAGAGAGAAGAGAGCGGGAGCGAGAGCGAGAGGTAGAACGAGATGTCAGGAAGAGGAAAGGGGCTCGGCAAGGGAGGAGCCAAGCGGCACCGGAATGTTCTGCGTGACAATATTCAGGGAATAACAAAGCCGACGATTTGCCACCTAGCTCGCCGTGGTGGTGTGAAGCGTATCAGTGGCCTCTTCTACGAAGAAACCCGTGGAGTCCTCAAGATCTTTCTCGAAAATGTCATACGTGATGCAGCCACATACACAGGGCACGCCCTTTGGAAGGTTGTAACCGCCTTGGATGTCGTTTATGCTCTCAAGCTCCAGGGTCGTATTCTTTATGGCTTTGGTGGTTAGGGTTTTTGTTTTCAAAGATCTGATTCGGTTTTCCCCATTTCATGTAATGGATATCCTCTTTTGTTATTTTTTTTTTGTCTTTCTTATGTTGTTATTCTATCAAATGGAATTCTGAGCAAGAAAACATACATACATACATATACATATATATATATATACATATATATGTATATGTATATGGCCTTTTCTATCTCCCTCTTCTAACCTTTTATCTAGATCTTTTTTTAGTTAGTAAATTCAATATTTTAACATTGATTGTGATCAACAACATGAATCTAATTTATATGTTAAATTTTCAATAGTTTCAATTAATATAACATGTATAAATTTTTTAAACAATTTACGAATGATTAGACAATCTATAAAAACTTTCTTAAAAGTTTTATTTTTTGTGTTTTACCAATTTTAACAATCAAACATTCTTAAATATTGTGAACAAATTATGTATTTAAGTCCATGCAATATGAAAGTTTACTTTGCAATTGCAATTGTCTCTTCATGTAAATAGAGGAAAATTTTAATGCATTTGCTTATGATGATATAATCTTTTGATAAACTCGAAGTCAAGCATTCCACCAATTTTTTTGATGTTAAAGAGAATTGATTTTGATTTTACATTTGAAATTTATAAATGTTAGAAGCTATATTGGAATGTAATTTATTCTTATTAGAAGTTGTGAGAATTAAATTTATTTTCTAATATAATTTTTATTTTCTTTCCTAATTTAGATTTATTTCCTTTCTTATTTTAGGCTTTCGTATTTTATGTTATTTATTTTATCTCTATATAATAAATATGAATTGATTAATTGGAGATATTAGGTGTTCTATATTTCCTTTTCTATTATTTTTTTTTATTATTTTTTCTATTATAAGATTCATGTAATGGTTATTTATACTCATTTTTCATATCAATAAAATTATTCCATATTATTCTGAATTTCATCATGATATCAGAACCAGGAAAGAAACTTAGAGTATCTTGCAGCCGGTAATCTTTGTCGTGCCGTAGGTCCTTCCTAGGATCAAACCCTAGCTGCTGCCGGGGCATCTACCTAGCTGTCGACATCTCCCCTGCAATGTTTTTCTTCTGCTATCTAGTTGTCTGGTAAAGTAGTGTTGATTGGAACATTGATGGTTTGCCTGTAAAGTAGCATTGCTTGTTGCCCTCAATCCATGGTTTCTTCTTGTTGAGCCTTGCATCGTTGCGAAAGATGAGTCCATGGGGTTGTCTAGGTTGCTGCATGAGTGCTGCTGCACTCTCTCCTCGGCAGGAGCAGCAGAAAGGATGCAGAAGTTCTAAGGTCGGTGAGTGGGGTTACTCAGCTAGAAGATCTGACTTTTCTTTGGATACTGCCTGCAATGTTTTTCCCTTGTCGTTACTGTTTCTGGACGAGTTGGCCCAAATATGGCTATCCATTGTAAACAAAGTGGTTTGTGAGGCATGATAGTTGAGGAGACAGCAGAACAACATTTTCTTAGCATAATGATATTGGATCATGGGTACAAGTTTCTACTTTGATCCTTTCCTTGGGTGAAGAGGTTCCATGGTATCGTAATGATGGAGTTGGTCGTGTGTTTGATATGTTACGGAGATAGTCTCTTCTTCCTAACTACATCAAAATGTTTGTTTTTGATGAGGCAGATGAAATGTTGTCTCGTGGGTTCAAGGTCCAGACAGGTGGACCTCTTCCTTGTAGGTTCCTAACAGTCGGAAATCATCTTTGTTGGCTGGAAAAATTCCTTGTAGACCTTACCGGTACCTTCATGCGGGCCTCAAATTCCTTCCGGCTACAAATTTCTGTAGCAGCCTTTGTGGCATCCTCTGCCATTTTACATGCATGGATTGTGAAAACGAAGAGAAGCTTGTTACAGAGCAGTTCATCTTTGGTTTGCTTTTAAAAAAACTTGAGAATGGTCATTACAAAGGTGAATGTATCTTTGAATGGAATCCCGACAGCTGACCTACATGCCCTTCTCCATTTTTTTCTTCCCTACTGCCCAAAAACACGCAGGTCGTCTGTTTTTTCTTTGCCACTGAAACTCTTGCTGCAACCGAAAGTATCCCGTTGCATGCCTTCCACAGTGCAGAGCCTCTTTCTCCAGAACCTTTTCCTGTATCAGGCTTTCCTCCATTACCTTTTCCTATATCAAACCCTCCTCTGGAGTTTTTTTTGCATTAGGTCCACCATCGGAATTCTTCTTGCAGCAGGCCCTCCATTGGAGCTTTTTTTGCATTAGGTCTTGTATCAGGCTTTCCTCCATTACCTTTTCCTATATCAGACCCTCCTCTGGAGTTTTTTTTGCATTAGGTCCCACCGAAATTCTTCCTGCAGGTCCATCAGAATTTTTTTGCAGTAGGCCCTCCTCCAGAGTCTTTTCTTGCATCAAGCCCTTTGGAATTTTTTCCTGCAGCATGCCCTCCTCCAGAGTCTTTTCCTATATCAGACCCTCTTCTGGAATTTTTTTCTGCATTCAACTCTCCTCCGGAGCTTTTCCCTTTAGCGGGCCATTTAGAATCTTTTTCTGCTGCAGGCTCAACTCTGAAGCTTTTTCCTGTATAAGGACCTCATCCGGAACTTTTTCTGCAGCAGGCCCACCAAATCTATTCCTACAACAGACCCTTCTCTGTAGCTTTTTCCTTCATCAAGCCCTCCTCCGGAGCCTTTCCTACAGTAGGCCCACCGGAATTCTTTCTGCAGTAGGCCCTCATTTGGAGCCTTTTCATACATTAGGCCCTCATTCAAAACCTTTTCCTTAATCTTTCCTGCAGTAGACTCTCCTCTAGAGCTTGTCCTGTAACAGACCCTCCAGAGTTTTTTTTTGTTTTGTATCAGCAAGGCCTACCTTTGATACTTTTTCTTTTTCCGTAGGCCATATCCTGGGGTTTTGCCTGTTGGTTGTTTACTTTCCTACAAATTCCCCTGCAACATTGCTTGTAGGAGTCTTCCGCCTACCTACAAACATTGCAAAAAGTGCAGTCAAAGACAACCTCAGTCTACTAAAAGTTTTTTTTTTTGTAGGTTGTCTAAATTCCTGTAAACTCCTCTACAACATTACTTGTCGGAGCCTTCCGTCTACCTACAAACACTGCAAGAATTACATTCAAAGACAACCGCAGTGATCTAGAAGTCAGTTTTTTCTGCAGTTTACCTACTTCCCTGCAAACTCTCATGTGTCGTTATTTGTAGGAGTCTTCCACCTACCTACAGACACTGCAGGAATTGCAGTTGAAGACAACCCCAGTACAAAATGTCGACTTTAAGTTCTACTTTATAGGATCTTTCTTGCACATTATTTAATATTTTCAAATCTAAGTTAAACACGGTTTTCGACCATATTTTAACTTGAGTAGGAGTTTTGGAAGCTATATTAAGAAATAATTCTTTCTATTAGAAGTTATGAGGATTAAATTTATTTCCTAATATAATTTTATTTCCTATCCTATTTTAGGATTTTATATATATATATTTTTTTCCTTTTTAATTTCCAAATAATTAATATGAATTGGTTAATTGTAGATATTAGGTGTTAGATCTTTTCTTTCCTTTATTTATTTATTTATTTTTTTTGTTTTTCCAATTCTAAGATTCATGGAAGGGTATCTATACTCATTTCTCATTTCAATAAAATTATTCCGCATTATTCTAAATTTGAACAATAATATTAAAATCTAATTAGGTGAAGAATGTTGAATCTTCTCCTAGGATATTTTGTTTTTGTTATATATATATATATATATATATATAGGGTCACGGGTTCGATCCCATACATGCATGCATGCATACATATAAACATTTTTTTTTCTGTGAGAAGTTTTCTAATGGTAACAAAATAATGTACATTGTTTGATGATCTTTATGGCTGCTAGATGTTAAGGACATTCCAGGTTGAGATGATTGTTCTCTCAGCAATTCCCAGCTTAGTTGAAACTTGGATGGCTGGATTTGGTTTCAGTGTTATTGAAGCTGAAGAGAAAAAACTGCTCGATGATGTCAACTTGATGCTACTCCCTGGGACAGTACTTCTGAAGAAGAAACTATGTGATTCATTTCTAGAAGGAGGTGGGTTCTCTTTTGCCTAATTTTGAGCATTTTGCTTTTCTTATTTTGATTCAGCAAGTATATTTGGATGTTGGTTCATTTTCCACATCATCAACATGGCCAATTTACTTATAATGCAGGAGTAAATGATCATATTTTTTCAACACAAAATGAATCACAGATTTTGGTGGGCTTTGACCGAAAGAAAAATGTTGAACCATCGCAATGGTCTTCCGAAAATGGTGGATTGGAATTTGATGTAGAGTCGGTGTTCTCAAGTTCCGGAAAGCTTGAACAGCAGGGTCACTGTCTGCTGAACAGACAAGGATCCGAGGTTTGCTGATTATGTCCTTGCTGCTTAAGGAAATATTGATTGACTCGTACAGTTGGCTTCTGTGTTGAAACTTCATTTCACTGATTGGTATCTGGTATCAAATAAATGGAACCCAGGAACAGTGAAGGCTTAAGATCTTCCATGCCTACTTATTTGGAGTCTTTCTATGATCCCGCTTACTTACTGAGCCTTGGATGTTTCTATAAGATTTCTTATGCTACACTTTTGGTGTTACGCTAATATTATCTCTCTTCAATCTACGGAAAAGTTACTGTTTGGAGTTGAAGCTCTGAGGTAGTTTGATGTTTGTTTTAATCCAAATACAAGTCACAAAGAGTTGAGTGATGTTTTGTGAGGCTTGTTGGAGGTGAAAGGATGAAGACCTAAGTTTTTACTTGAATATGACATGAAAACCTTGATGCGAGCGAGTATCAAGTTTGAGTGTGCTCCGCGATGCTAGATGCTACTTTCAAGTATCAAAAAGAACACAGCACAAACAAAAAAAAAAAAAAAAAAAACCTTCAGAAGGTATATTTGCAAAAGTCTTATGCTATGATGGGCGAGGTGCATTTCTATTCCGGCATTAAAATACAGTTGTGATTATTCACAGCAATCAATAAGCAAACAGCCATCTGGGGTGATCTGCATTTCCTCCTCCATAAGAATTTACGAACTAATTGTTAAACTATGAATCCTTTCAAATAGTTGTTTTAGACCAAATATTTCTTTTTTGCTTAACAAATACTCACATAGTATGTTAATCTTCGTCTCCAGAAACATTCGAGAACAGAAATCAATGCAGTGCCAGCTATGAACAAGGCATACACATGGTTCTGGTGAATTCATGGTTCCATTTTCTTGAGAAATTTCAGTTGATTCTTTTGAAAGAAACTATGTAGAGCGCAAAACTAATATATATTTTTTTCATTTCTATGATTAAAGTTGCTTCTGTAAGTTTACTTTCTTGATGAAGGCATTTTTGTAATGTTTACTTGATCAATTGTTCCAGTGCTGTGTTTTGTCTAGGTACTGTGAGGCGACCGTTGCTATATTATTTTAGTGCGTGCCTTTTTTTTTCTGGGAGCATTTGCATTCATAGCACAATTCCACTGTGTATACTTATCTCACACCTAAATTTTCATATGTAAGCACAGCACTCATATTTTTAATATCACATAAAGAATAATAATATTATTAATTTTTAAAAGTGAAATCTACTTTTCATACTTAATTTTGAAGCACAAAAGTGCTATGAATATAAATATGAAAGTTTACATGTGAGATATGGAAAATCATAAGAATCATGTGCTTCACATGTAAAGTTCCATTTTTTATTTACGTGTTTTCTTATTTTTCTTGAAGGTCCAAAACACCATGATTTCTTTTTGAAATTAGCCACATTATAGATGTAGATAGATAAATAGATAGTTTAGGATTTTGGCTCTGATAAAAATGTTGTCCAATGGATAAGAAAATATAAAGGACAAGAAAACACCAAGATTAGAGGAATATTTTAGCGTTGAAGAGTTACCGTACGCTTTATTAGAATACATGTTATAAAATATCAGAAACTTTGGCTGACATACAAACTCACATCAGAAACTTTGGCTGACATACAAACTCACAGGAAAAAATATTCAATAATTGTAAAGTCATAATTATCAACGTAATATAGGATTTTTTGATTAAGTGCTGAATATTCAAGATTAGAGGAATATTTTAGCGTTGAAGAGTTACAGTACGCTTTATTAGAATACATGTGATAAAATATCAGAAACTTTGGTACTCACACAAGAAACAATACAACCTCACCCAGGAAAAAATATTACCTCAGGAGTACTTATGTATAAGTACTCTAAGAGGGAGGTGTCACATATGCAATGGTTCCACCATAATGTCACGTGACACCTTAAAATAAGCAATATGCACTATTTATCAGCAAACCTTCTATTTTAAAAGTACAATCACTTAAACTTGATGCATCAGTACTCCTGAGGTAATATTTTTTTTCACACAGACTGAAAGATTTATATGAATGGATTTCAAAATGGATTTTAATTGCTGAAAAGATTTGCCTGATAGGACTCCGGATAAGGTGGTGAATTTCTTAATATTAGATACATGATAGTTGTTATGATATAATTTCTTTATTTTAGGGATTAATAGAGGTAGAGTACATTTTTACCTATTTACTTGAGAATATAAATATCTTGATTAATAGATTTAGTTTTTTCTATTTTAATGGTTGTCCGTCATTTAATAGAAATTTTTCAAAAAAAAAAAGAATTTACCATTTAGTGAGTTTTGTTGCATTTTAAGACTCAAATATCAAATCCAAGGTGTCTAATTTTGGGTAAAGAAGAGAGTTTTGATAGCCATAAGAACAAACATCTTTGAGTGCCTGCGTCAATGATTAAGAATATATAAAACTTTGCTCATTGCTTTCTATATATGTCCGATAATTGAATGAGATTATTTTTTGAAAATTTAATTCAGCGGTTTTATAATCAAGCCTTGATCCAAAAGAATGAAGTTTCAGCAGGTTAATATGATTAAAATTACTTCAAAGATTTTTCTCTCAAAGATTGAATTTTAAGAAATCTTAAGAAAATTGACTATTCTAATATACTTTTCTAATATTGTCCAATGGAATGTAATGTGATAATCTTCATCATTAATTTCAATAGAATGTTCGATAACATCTTTCATATTGATATTTGGCGATCATTGAAGTATTTTTGTAAAAGGTTTTTTTTTATTATTCTAGGATATCTTTTGTTATCATAAAAGATGAAAATTTCCCTATAAATTTTTATTGAGGGGATCTATAAAGCTAAGTGGTAAGATTCATCATCTGAGAATAGGGTGATTCACTTCCTCTTTCTCAGCCATGTTAGAGTATTCTTTGAAGTAATCAGGGAGGGTTATAGGCCCCTACTTTTCAGGGATGATTCACCCATAATCTACCTTGCAAAAACTAACGAGTCAAAAGGTTTGGAAGAGAGTTTGTTACTCACTTGATATATTCAATTTCAAAATAAAAATTTGAGAGTTTTGCTTGTTAGATGGCAAACATTTGTTTGGTTGTGATATTCTTAACTTATTTAGGATGATTGATTTAGTTGCACTACAATCTATCTTTCATTGAAATTTTTACTTTTAATGAATAATCTTGAAATTTGGAAATGGATTTACTACTAGAGAGCATTTCTTTTTTTTAATTGGGAGTACTTTAATTGTGTTGTATTTCATTTTCCTGGGAAAAACAAACAAGTTCTTATTATTTGGACTTGGGTGAGTGTATTTATTTATTTATTCCATCATTTCCTAGACTAGCAACATCAATTTCAAAGATTGCACACATATCTGAGTTAGTGGGAGTGATATTGATACAACACATTTTTTTTAATTTTAATTTTGCATTAGAATGTATAGTCAGCTAAGATGGAGAAATTTTTTTAAGCCTATCAAAAAATGAGGTAAGATTTTGAGTTATTTCTTATAAAAATCTGCTACATAATTAAGGGTTTTTAAGAATCTTTATATTTGATTTTTTAGAAGAAGTTATGCTAATAAATTTGTCTGTAATTGTAATGCTTCTATTGATTGGAATGATACATATACTTGAAATTATATGAACAAAAAATCAAATATTTTTTTGAAATTGTTTGGCTTTAGGTGTTGAAATGTCTAGTTCATTCTTTTGGGCTAATCATTTAAATGCATTAAGATGTTTGAAGTGGTCTTTGATGAAGTTAAAAAATATTAGTAGATCATCTATATACATGATAATGTAGGAAGAGAATGGATTAAATATATCAATCATAATAATTTGAAATTCAGTCATAGTATTTTTAAGAACAAAAGTTATAGTATTTTATTCATAACAACCAAAAGAGGTAGTAAATGCAGTCTTATAACAATTTTTTACAAGAATTTGTATTTTTCAATATCTAATCTTAAGATTGAATTTTGAAAAATAATTATCTTATGTAAATGATTTAACAAATCCTTTTTATTATAAATATGGTACCATTTATTTTCAAAATTTATTCAATGATTTGTAAATAATTACAAGAAGTGATTTTTTGCGTTCTTTCTTGACGGTATTCACGACCTAAAATGTTATACAACTCCACAATGAATAAGATTTTCTTATAATATCATTATCTAATAAATCATTAATTTTAATTTTATAGAGTTAGAGATAATCTTTGTTCATTTGACATTGACAAGCCTCAGTAGGGATGTCCTTTTCTTGAAACCTTTCTTTGTAGTGAAGAGAAACATAATGAGTTTCTCCTTTGCCAAAAAACTAGGGTTATCTCTACAAATTTCTTTTCGAAAATTTGGTAATTTTACTAAATTTTTTTCTTCTATCTTAACGGTTTTAAGTTGTTCTTAGATTCTTTTTATTGTAATTTTTTCTTTTAGAGAATAATGTGTAATGATTTTTGTTTCAATTTCATTATTTATTTTAAAATAATTTCTCTAGGATTTGTAATGAATTGAAATTTTAATGATTTTTAAAATTTCTCTGATATGATTCCACTAACGTCAGTCTTATTTAGCATGTTTTTTTAATAAAAATGGTGTTTCTAGAATAATACGTTATGAAAGATTTTTAACAAGAATAAAAGGGGTAGGAATACAACACTCTTCCTTGCATATTACAGTTGTTAAAAAGTTATGCTCGAGTTTCATTTGATTACCACTAGCTGAAGTCAATCTTGAATAATTTTTTTGGAAAAATTTAGATTAAGCAATACCTTTTTGAATAAAATTCATGTCTACTATGCTATCAACAAAGTTGCAAGATTAGGAATGTTGTACTCTTTGTAAGTTGTTAATTGAATAATAATAAACCAATTTAGCATTATAGTTTTTTATCGAAGACTTAACATCTCATTATCTTGAAGTAATTCATTACTTATTAATTTGTTAACAAGAGAAAATTCCTTTCCATATTTAACTTTTGTAATTATTTAATTCAATATTAATAATTCTATTATTCATTTTGTTTTGAGATAATTTTATTGCAATAAATTTATATTTAAGATGATTGTTTTTTATCTTAAGATTGGATATAGTAGAATGACATTCTATAGATTATCATGATTTCTTATCATGAAGTAGATTAAGGATTTTATCATGCATTTAATAATTCAAAATGTTGGCTAAAACTTTTATTAATAGTCTTTTTGCTCATCTTTAAGGAAAAAATTCCTAAAGTTTCAATAATAGTATGATGATAATGTGTGTTATTATAATAATTAAAGCAAGTTGTAGTTTCATAATTTGAGTAATAAAAAATATTAGTTGAAGTAATATCATCTATATCAAATTGCTCTGATTTTGATATATTCAAAAGTAATTTCTTTAATGTTTGGTTTAGTCCCTCATCTATTTTAACTTTGTTGATTTTTTTAGAGAGGGTGCATTTATTAGAATAGTGGTTATGTCTTCTATAATGATAGCATTTAACATTTTTTTTCTCTTTTTTTTGTTTTCACAATGTTTAAAATTAGATGGATAACTTTCATTATTTCTTGCATACCATTCTTTATTGAGATATTTTTTAAGTACTTGCTTATCTTTTTAAAATTATTATTTTCCTCTTTTAATGGAGATTTTTGGTAGAAAATATTATTCACAAAAGGCTAAGCCATTTTTTATCAAGAATTTTCTCTCATTTTACTTGTTTATTAAGTTTGATGTAAAGTTCAAATTCAATTTGGGTACAAGCATTATATTTTTTTCATA